CTCGAACCCGCCGGCTCAGGCAATCCACTCACCTCAGCCTCCCAAAGGCGCGGGATTACAGGCTGAGCCACCGAGCCCGGCTATGAATTTTTTTTTTATTGGAGTCTCATTCTATTGCCGAGGCTGGAGTGCAGTGGCATGCTCATGGCCACCCCAGCGTCAACCAGCTGGGTTCCAGCAATCCTTCCACCTCAGCCTTCCAGGTAGCTGGAACTACAGGCACTCGATAGTATGCCCAGTTAATTTTTGATTTATTGTAGAGATGAGGTCTTGCCAAGTTGCCCGAGCTGTTCTCGAACCTGCAAGCTCAGGCAGTGTACTCGCTTCAGCTTCTCAAAGTGCTGGGATTACAGGCTGAGCACTGAGCATAGCCCATAATGAATTTCAATGTGTCATTTCTAGCAGTGAGAACTAGATCCAGTAAAGAACTGGAAAAAAAGTCCAGATCATAGAGAAAGGATCTCTTCCCCAGGGGCAATGGAGGCATCCACAAAGCTGTGTTGCTTTGGGGCATTTAGGTTTGCTGTGCAGGCCCAGCCACTTGATGTGTGCAGGGTGGAAGCCAAGCCCTTGGCTCCATCAGCAAACACCAAAGCTTCTGCAGCTCGAAGTCACCACAGTGCGCTCATTACGTCCTTGTTGACATGACCTTTCTGCTTGTGTTTCTAGTGCTCATTAGGACGTCCATGTAAGACTGAGGTGACTTACTGTACTCTCATGCCCCAACGCTGAAAGGTGGCACAAACCTCCAATAAAAGAACCTGGGTGTCAATCTTTTTGCAGCTTATTCCCTATTGGCATGGCCATGTTACTTCATCCCTGGGAGCTGCGACTTCTAACTGTAAAATGGTGCTCTGAGCTGAGCCCCAGGGTTCCGTGTACCCCAGAGTTCCATGTACAAGGGACAGTGCCTGTCTCCAGAGAGGACAGTGATATCCCTTTGCTCAAGGGATCTTTCCCCTGAAATCCCCCTCTTCTAATCTTGCTGTGCTGCCAGCAGAACCCAATGTCCTTTACGGCCCAGCCTAAGGATCAAGAATGCTGATTAGACCTCTGCCTCACTGCTCAGGAACCAGACATTTTGCGACTGACTTCTCTGGCACCATACAGAAGAAAGACACAATAGGTAGAGTTTTTTGGCTTTTTATTTAGACATGGAATTTTTCCTTTTCATATAACTTATCTAATTAAAATATTCATCTTGGTAGTTACCACAAAAAAGTAACATAGAAAATTGTATTTACATTTTGGGACCAAGATACAAATGAGGAGCAGGATGACACCTTGCTCCTTTCCCTCCCGCTTCCCAGAAAGAGAAAGCCCCAAAGAAACTGTTCATTACACCAAGGATCACAAAGAGTTAATTTGTAATTTGGTGATTTGTATGTAGTGTAGCACAGAAAAAAACCGCACAAGTTTTCACACGAGACCAAAGGTTCAACGTCATCCTGTGTCTGCTATGCAGCCATTTCAATAAGCCAGGTGAGGAGGTCGTTTAGAAATGTGGCTTCTCCTCTGCCCCCTTACTCTTCGCACCAAGTCACAGCCCCTGATGCAGATGACCTGGGGAGAGGAAAAGATCTGGCTCTATGCAAACAGGGGTCATCAAAAGTCTTTATATGCCAAAAATGGATACTGACACTGGGATAAACCATCACGTGTCCTTTCTTCCCTCCCTGCCTAAAGACTCCTAATAAGAGAAATTAAATCATACGCAACTGAATCTAAGACAATGGCTTCAATGACAAAGACTTGAACACACAGCTAAGAGAGCAATTCAAGGTGGCAGACACCTAAAAAAAAAAAGAGTCCAGGTAACAGACATCTGGCATCTGACCCAGGTATTCATCTGGTCTCAAGTAAGAGGATTCCTAATATCAGAGGTTGGGGGGTGGGGGGCAGGCTAGGGGATCTGGGTGGAACAGGGTACGTGTGACCGAAATAAGTAACGCTTTACCCAGTTCAAAAGTGCAGCCAAAGCCGGGCTCGGTGGCTCAGCCTGTAATCCCGTGCCTTTGGGAGGCTGAGGTGAGTGAAGTGCCTGAGCCCACGGGTTCGACACCCCGAAATCAGCCAGGCGTGGTAGCGCATGCCTGTAATTCCAGCTACTTGGAAGGCTGAGGCGGAAGGATCGCCGGAGCCCAGCAGGTCGAGGCTGCGGTGGCCGGGAGCAGCCACTGCACTCCAGTCTGGGCGACAGAGTGAGACTCCAACTCAAAAAAAAAAAAGTGCAGCCAATTAAAACATAGCACTGCACATCCTGTTCCAACAGATACATGACAGTAGCACACAGTGGCCAGTCAGAGCGGCTGCTGCACAGATCTCCTGCATAGCTCTGGAGTCCAAAGCTGAGGTCTCCAGAATGGTTAAAAGTGTGGGTTGTAGCTAGGCTTGGAGAAAGCTTGTTAGTCTGCCGCTCAGGCTTCCCAAGGACACACATCTCAGATGTGCAGTATCTGCCTCCACTCAGGTCACGACCAAGGAGTCTTACGTGTTCTTCAACAGCCGGAAAGGATGCGGATGCTGCCCTCCAGATTCTGATCTCGCTCCTGTGTCTGCTGGACCTTGATGGATACCTGCATGGCTTCCCCAGCCTGACACTGCAGCCCACAGTCCCTACGCTGGTCCTTCCTCCCAAATCCTGACTTAAACACTCGGAAGGGAGAGAGTGCATCAGCTGCAAAGTTCTCCATCAAGCACAGTCAATTATGTGCTCTTCCAGTCACATGAAAGAAAAGGCAAAAACAAAACTAAATTCCAGCACAGCATTACAACTTCTAAAGCCATTGGCTTCTCCTAGTGTTTTGCAGAACAAGAGATTAAAGTGCTGGCTTTTAAAACTCTAAAGCTATAAAAGCCCTGCTGTGTGTGTGTGTGTATGTGTGTGTGTGTGTGTGTGTGTGTGTGTGTGCTGGCTTTTAAAACTCTAAAGCTATAAAAGCCTTGCTGTGTGTGTGTGTTTCCCCCATGCTGGTGAGGAGAAGGAAAGCCAGGGAGGGTTTAAAAAAAAATTAAAATTTTGAATCAAAACTGGAAACTGTAAAACTGTGCAAATTAATCTCCCAAGGTTCTGTGTCCTCTAATGAGACTCATAGGGGAAAAAAAGGGTAAGAAGTGGCAAAAAGGAAGGGTTTCGGAAAGATTCTAGACTTTTACAAATAACCTCCCTTAATAAATACTGTTGAGAAAGTAAAAGGAGATGCATCACACGGGAATACTGTGCTGACAAGGGTCAGAGCGGGGTCCACCTGACACTTCCTGTCTCCATGTCGAGGACTCCTGGGACAGGCAGCCTGGCGTTCATCCTTGCCCTATGCAGGTACCACCAGGCTCTGGGGACACCTAGTCCTCTGTCTGGACCACAGTTCACTTGGGGAGAGCTGGGATGAGGGAATGACTTCCACTAGGCTTTCGTCTAATTTTAATAACAGACCCAGAAAGTAAAAGGCTATGCGTGTGGGAGAGGGCAGAAACAAAACCAAAAACACCTGGGGTATAATATAAATACAATCTGGGGGCAATATTTATTAATTAAAACTCATGTCTTATAGTTTGCAAAGGTGCTAATGAACAACAAAAGTCTAATTGATCTTAAAATCCTTAGTGAGACCAAGGCTTCACATCTTCTTCAGAACTCTGAAGTGTGCTCCAGGCAGGGAGGCGGGGCTGTGGCACGAGGATCCAGGGGCAGCACCTGCAGACCGCAGGACTCAGAGACCAAGAGGTTCCACAGAGCAAAAGACTCTGGTCTCCTGTGGAAGCTCCATTCCCCAACCCCCAGTGGCCTTGCATTCCTGCCCCCCCAATTCCATCTCCAAGGCAAGTCCTCAGTTTATCGACGGGAGAATCTGTTCTTGAAAGCTTTAATTGTCTTGGCCATCATTGGGGCAATTTCTGGGAAGAGAGACGGAGGCAGTTATTTCAGATGTGGCAGCTTAGACTGGTGATTTACAGCCAAAGCCAAGCCTTGCTACTCTCTGCGATGCACCACCAGAAAGACACAAGAAGTATCTGCTCACACTGCAATAAAAGCAACACTGCATAGCAGATGTTCTCTCTAACCTCCTGCACAAGGTTAAGGGCTTGGCCAACCAGCCCACTGCTGTACGTGGAATGGAAATTTTTTTTTTTTAAGATTAGAAAAGATAGTTTATTTAGAAAGTAAATGGGGGGAAGGGGAGGGAGAGAGAGAGAGAGAGAGAGAGAGAGAAAAGATTCACCTCTCCAGCGTAGGAGAGGGGGCCAGAGCTTAGGAAATGTGACAGTGGCCACAGCACAAAGAGCACATGGCCACACCAGAGTCTGTAAAGCAATGGCTGGAACTGAAATTCTATCCTTGCCAGACTAATGGCTTCATTCTGCCTTAAAAATAGTCAACCCAGCCGGGCTCGGTGGCTCAGCCTGTAATCCCACGCCTTTGGGAGGCTGAGGTGAGTGGATTGCCTGAGCCCGCGGGTTTGATACCCGCCTGGGCAGCGAGACCTCATCTCTACAATAAATCAAAAAATCAGCTGGGCGTGGTAGTGCATGCCTGTAATTCCGGCTACTTGGAAGGCTGAGGCGGAAGGATCGCCAGAGCCCAGCAGGTCGAGGCTGCGGTGGCCGGGAGCGGCCACTGCACTCCAGTCTGGGTGATAGAGTGAGACTCCAACTCAAAAAAAAAAAAAGTCAACCCAATAAATAGCACCCCTGTGCCCCAGTCTGTCCAGTGTGGCACAGGTCTAAGAGGAGTTGTGCAAATACCGCCTGAAGAGAGCTAGGCTGCCTCCTGACCACTTAACCTGGGCACAACTGAAGCTCAAGCCAGGACTCCCTCTCATAGGCCATGCAGTGATAACAGAATACAACTTTTCTTAAGTTAGGACACCCCCTTAGGATACTGGGGATAGTCTGTGGCCATAAAGTTAATAAAGTACAAAACAGACCCGGGTAGATACAAATATTCAAAAGCAATAGTTTTAAGATAATTGAAGCCAGGCTCGGTGGCTCAGCCTGTTATCCTGCGCCTTGGGAGGCTGAGGTGAGTGGATTGCCTGAGCCCGCGGGTTCGAGACCCGCCTAGGCAACTTGGTGAGACCTCATCTCTACAATAAATCAAAAAATTAGCCGAGTGTGGTAGCACGCGCTTATAGTTCCAGCTACTTTGAAGGCTGAGGCGGACAGATTGCCAGAGCCCAGCAGGTAGAGGCTGCGGTGGCTGGGAGCAGCCACTGCACTCCAGTCTGGGTGACAGAGTGAGACTCCAAAATAAAAAATAAAAAAGATTATTGAACCACAGCAAGATGGACCATCATTTAGTTGTTAATAATAGTATTCAGAACCTGTGTTATTGCCTAGAGAAATAGGTTTACGTTTAGGTTTGGCACTCAAGAGGAGTGCCAAAATGCACGGTCACTGTGATGACAATTTAAAGACGCATGTGCACTATGGACAGAGCAGGGAAAGGAGAGCCTGACATTTAGGCCAGCTGTGTGCAAGGCACTATGCACACATAACATCCAGACACAAGTGCCACAGTGACCGTGACATTAAAAGGGCTAAAACCCAGTGAAATGTCTACGCAGGACCCCACTCACTCTTCACAGTGGGTTTCCTCGGGTCATAGGAAACAGTGCTGCTGACCACCGGCACCAAGTGGGCACTGCTGGTGCTGGGGCCGTCATAGGCCGGCTCATCAGGGCTGGGGTTAAAGCTGTGGCTGCTGCTGCTGGCAGGGACATGACTACTTCCCATGGGGTATGGAGCTGGTTTAATCCTGTAACACAGAACAAAGTGGATCAGTCGTGGGTACAAGTCTGCTCTCAGCATAAACAACCTGAAGTTTGCCCATACAAGGATCAATTCACTCTGTGGTTTGGACCACGGGCCCCACAGCCTGGATTGTGGTGGCGGCTCAGGGATGTCTGCAAGAGCCTTTCAGAATAAATGATAATCTCAAGTAACCTTTCATTGTTTGGGTGTAAATCTGTGTTTTGAAAATGCTAACGTGAGCCAGGCTCGGTGGCTCAGCCTATAATCCCATGCTTTGGGAGGCTGAGGTGAGTGGATTGCCTGAGCCCAGCAGTTCGAGGCTGCGGTGGCCAGGAGTGTGCCACTTCCTTCCAGCCTGGGCGACAGAGTGAGACTCCAACTCAAAAAAAAAAAAAGAGAGAAAGAAAATGCTAACGTGGCTTAGGCAAAACAATTTAGTCATCACAGAAATATGTGAAGGTCAAGTGCTGAGCCAGTCAAGGTCTGCCTCCAGAGTCCACACTCCACACTGCTTTGCTTTTACCAAAAACGAATCGCTTCCCACCCCTACAGCTATCTCTTATGCAAAACCTAACAGGAGCAAAGATCTTACTTGACTTTCTCAGGGACAGCTGCTCCTCCTGTTCCAAACTTCTCCTGCCTCCGCCGGACATCACGAGGTGGCTTGGCCACAGAGTTGACAAAGGCCATCTTTGCTTGTCGGCCTGTGGAGAAATAAGGTGATCAATATCTGCCTTCCTGAGCAGAGATGCTGCAGTTATTTCAATAATCCACAGGTTTTTCCAGTGCCCTGACTCCGACTGTAGGGTAGCATGGACCACAGCAGGAGAAACACCCACCCCATGCACCTTCTGCAAATGCAGGGGACTTGGAGGCCCCCCATTTTGCTGGTGCTTCCCGGCATCCCAATTCACCTTTGGGCTTATTGGCATGTGCGGATTGGATATTCTTTGTCAGGACTCGCAGCCGCTGCTCTCGGGCATCCTGCAGCCGCAGGTACATTTCCCGCCACGACTCATACTCTTCCGGTCTTTCCTCCTTAAAGTCTCGGTGACAGTGAACCTTCCATAATTGATCTGTGTCTTCAATTAATACCTGAGCGAAACCAGGACACAATTTATACACAAGCACCCTTCCATATCTTTTCCCTATTAGTTAGTCATCTAGGAGTGGCCAGTTTCCTAATCATTTTTTGGTCTTTGTGGTAGTATAAAAATAACACAATTCTAGGAAAAATCAAATCACTAATGTTTAAGAAATGCTAAGTGGGAGGCACTATGCTGTTTACTTTTGGATGGTTGTGACAGAAGATTACACGGGAATTAGTTTTCCTTTACAGAACTTGTAAAGGGGGATGAACTGATTCAGGTTCCCCAGTACCACGGTGAACTGTGGTGGCAAGGAGGCTAGGCCACAGACCACTCCTAGAGATAGTCAACGTGATCAAAAGAGTGTATCCACATTACAAGAAGGATTTTTGGATATATGTGAATGTCTCCAGGAGAATCCAGTAAATCACCAGACACCTGAGATCCAACACAAAGTGTGGTGCCCGCCCTGGGTCCTAGATGCTTGTTCTGCTGCCAGAATCCTCCCTTGACCTTGATGACAAGTCAAGCTCAAGGGAGGTTTAAGTGTGTTTTTCCCTCTCTTTGGTTTTTTTTTGAGTTGCTCCCAGCCACCGCAGCCTCGACCTGCTGGGCTCCAGCGATCCTTCCGACTTAGCCTTCCAAGTAGGCGGAACTACAGGCGCGCGCTACCACGCCCGGCTAATTTTTGATTTATTGTAGAGATGAGGTCTCGCCAAGTTGCCCAGACAGGTCTCGAACCCGCGGGCTCAGGCAATTCACTCACCTCAGCCTCCCAAAGGCGTGGGATTACAGGTTGAGCCACCGAGCCCGGCTTTTCTCTCCCTTTGAATCCCACCCTGATTCCAGCACAAGAGGTCCACTTAAGACGCCAAGCGCAGGTGCTACTAATTTGCTTGTTTAAAGGCCTAGAGACAAACCAAACATGCCCAGAACAATGTTCTGACCACTGGTCTGCCCTTCAGCCATGGCAGAGCCACAGGGACAAGCTATTTCTGGAGACATAAGCTAGGAAACTGCCCTCTTCACACCCAGACAGGATACTTACATGATTGTATTCTTCTATACGATACAATTGATCAGGTGTGCACCTCTCCAGAACGGGTTCAAGAACAGAATACGGGACTCCTCCCACTTCAAAGATTGCTGCAGAGAAACCAAGGATAACAGTGCTGAAGAGTAGCCAAGTCATCCAGTGATAAGGTCCCAGAGCTACAGTGTACTTGAGAGCTGAAGATAAGCATGTGACTTACAATCGATGTTGTTCTTAAGTACTCGGATACACTGCTGGTGCAAGGTCATCATCTTGGGAAGATAGGCACACTTGGAACCAGAATACACCTGCATTTTGGAATTCATCCTGCGTCCAGTGAATCCAGTTTCTTCTTCTTCCTGGGGTGAAGAGAATGCTAGAGGGCAAGAGAAACCCAAAAGGAAATCACAAAAGGCCCTATATGATCCAATGAAAACTCTCCTTCCACCCATCCTCAGCCACTCACTTGCCTTCCTTGAAGGCAAGCAATGCCACTAGTTTCTTATGGATCATTCCAGCAACTTTATCCAAATATAAGCAAATATGTATCTTTTTTTTTTTTTGAGTTGGAGTCTCACTCTGTCGCCCAGACTGGAGTGCAGTG